AAAGGTATTGCCATTGAGAGTATCCAAAGCTTCCTGGATCATCTTCAGGACGCTTATGAGGGTATTGATGAAGAGATGAGAAAGAAAATGAACGGAATCGAGTGGGCAAAAGAATGGGCATATAAGGTAATGGAGTTTAAATACAACGCGTCAAGTGATTCTAGTGCCAGGTACGGAATGATAGCGTTTGGAAAATCGAAAGATGGAAAGTTTGTAGACTGCATGTACTGCCTCTACAAGCTGGATTTTAAAGTTGCCCCTGAGAGAATCATCACCAAAAAGGAACATTCAGTTTTGTGGGGTTTGGTCAAATGGGAAAGTGTGGAAGAGAGAGTACAGGAAAGAGTGCTTGGCGTGAAGTCGCTGAAACGCATCAAAAATTTCTTCCGCTTCAAGGCCCTGGAAGGCTTTTACAAAGAAGGTCTCATTGACCGAATTAATGTGGTGCCATCTATTGAAGATGTGGCGGATGACAAGTAGAACAACGTTTGTGATGCCGAACATTGTCCATTTTAATTGGCATTGATCAGAACTTTTTTTTGTGTTTGTGAGGGGAAGTTTATTAATACTGATCATAAGTTTAACTAAAACAATTCTGTCGTATGCTAAGATTTTATGGCAATCATTCCCAAATAATTGTGCATAAGATCAAACCAGTCTCAGGCTGTTTGGCCGGCAATACTGTCCTCTGCGAAATTCTATTTCTATGGATGTGTATGAACTAGTAGTGAAATTACGCATTGTGTTTACTGGGATTTGAAACCTCTATGTCAAAATAAGTCGCTTCAAATCTGACATCGTTTTCAGCTTTCACCACTTGAGGCTGTAAGGGTCAGTGAGATTTTACCTGTAATTTTTATAGTACAGCAGGAGTAGTCAAGATAGTAACTGAGTAAAGAAGTCCAATTCTGACGTTGTGCTATAATCCACAACTGTGTGTAGATTTCTTTGTCGCTTGAAAATTCTGTTATTTTCTAACTTTTGTATTAATTTCCTCACCACAATAATCTTTATGTGAGAAAATGACTGAGTTACATCAACCTTTAAAACTCACCTAAAACTTATTGTTTAAATTTAAGTATATTATCAAGTATCTTATTGTCAGCGTTTTGGCCTAACTTCCGTGTTGCATTTTTATTTCCCATTAAAAAAGAGTAAAAAATTGTGTAATAAGAGAAAAAAACTGTTCTTTTTGTTCTACTTGAGATAAATAAACCACCACTTAAACGCTTAGAAGATTTCGCCTACTCTTCTGCTTGTAACCATCCCGAAAAGGAAGAATCCCTCTACTGAGATTATGGTTTGATGGTGCGTTTTGTTGCCTTGGTTTTTTCAGAATCAAAGATTAGTGTAAAAACAAAAAAAATTGATTTACACCATCCAAGATGTGAGAAAAACGTTGTTCTGCAACAGAGCGGACATTGAGTGTTGAGAACGGGGAGAGAAGTTTTTCAAAACCTTGTTTGCAGAGGTCTGACATGTAGACACGATTCTGCAAAATTGTCAAGAAAGAAATGTTCAGGGTCTTGAAACTGATATGTTTGCATGGTTGCCATGTTCATTGCTGCCAATGTTTGATGATTCTCCCGGATGATTCTCTAATGGCGCCCAGTGAGAATCACTAAAGTGAAGTCAGGTACTACTGTGAATTTTGTGACAGCAACAACTGAGTCGTTCAAAGTTAATGCTTGTGTTGCTGTTTCTGAGCTCTAAAAAGACAGTTTATAGGTTTATAGCATACGTGATGAACCCGCATAGACAGTTCAAACATAAACAACTTCAAAGACAGTTACAATTTTTTATTGCTGATTCAAACCTGATACAAAACCAAACAGCTGCGGTACATGTTAGCAGTACATCTAGAAATTATTATAGTAAGGGTTTACACAATTTCAACTTGTGTGACAGCAACAAACTTAACCTTTTTGTTCTTGATGATTGATAACCATTTATTTACCCTCGGAGTATTTATAGCACTATTAAATATCAATTCCAGCTAACGGTCAGGGCGAGACTTGATACTCTAACCGCTTGGCCACGCTGCCTCCTAGTTCCTAGTTTTGCCAACTAGGAAAAAACCTCCTGGATTTGCTATTTTGATTGGAGTCTAACTGAACTGAAAAGCGTCATAATTCTGTACTAGTTATTGATAGCTGAAAGCGATGTAACATATGGCACGTCATGAATGAAACCTTTACTTTTGAAGGCTTCCATGGCTTTCATACGACAGAAATTTGAGATCTGCTTCTTTGAAAAATACCCGAGGTTCTTTCTGCGGTAATGAACTGACGTGTTACTCTCTACTGGTATAAAACCAAGAAACTGAAAAGTCTCTTCTGTTACAACCTTTTCCTGAGCTGGAGTAAAGTTAAGTCTATAAAGGGAGCTAACTGCATCGACTTTCTGGCCGTCGGGGCTTTTTACCAGGCATATTATTCCAAAATAAACCTCACCAGAATCAATGTTATCACCAAATGTAAACTCGAACACTTTGTGGGACCAAGATGACGCCCATCTTATTCCTTGAATTTTGCCTCTGATGTCGAAGTTCACACCGCGATACTGTTTTTCCAGTTTGGAAACTAGCTCATCTAACCTATAAATGGACAATTTTCTGGCCTCCATGACTTCACAGGTCTCATCCCACTCTGAAAAGTACTCATTTCTGAGTCTGTCTTGGACGGCAATTGCTTCTTGCTTGCAGACTTTCACCCTGGAAAGTGCGCTTTCCACATTTCCCTGAGCACTGTTCTCACCAGAACACCATCCTGATTGGTCCGTTAAAATCTCGTGAAGATAGTCCGGTTTTGCAGCAGGATCGACGCCTAAGGTAAACACCGAGCATAGATGAGCTTTCAGTTTTATAAGTGAATTTTCATCCATTTCACATTTTCAATGTTTTACAGTCCTTCAGGTGGTATTCATATGTTTTTTTCATTCATGTTTCCTTTCTCTTTTTGCTTATTTTATAAAAGTGTAATTGTGGTATTCAAGTTAATCCTTTACTTAAAAATTCAAAGTTAAGTCAAATTAAAAGTTCTTGATTTACAACTGGGTAAACGTCCACTGTTTTCAGTTTCCCAAGCCATCAGTCAACTATACGTTACTCAGTATTTGGAAAACCACAAAGCAGACTTTGAAGGAATTTTTCAGTTTAATGTTTAATGCAGCTACTAAAAGCCGGGAATCCGTACCTTCCTCAGACTAAAACAGCAGAGTTAAACGTAAGTAAAACCTGAAACAACATGAAAATTAGTTCTTACCTTTGTAGTCAACCACGTGAGAATAAGTTGAAGTTTCTGTATTTCCCATTGTGGTTTTCTCTAGATCTGGCGAACAGCACAAAGATGGGGCAAAAGAGGGCTGCTGCACGTTATATATTTTTTAAAAACCAATGACAGAGATAATTGTAATCTGAATTAAAAAGAAGAAGAGGAAATGATTACGCTAAACCACCGGCTGATTTGCAGTCAAAGGCAGCGTTACACGGGGTAATTTTTCCTGCAACTTATCTCGCAACGAAAATCAGGAAGCTTATTCAACATTTTCTGCAACTCGTCTTGCAATTACTCGTTCCCTTGTAAGTAACAAAAAGGCATCTTACACACGAAGTTTCTGTTGCATTTTGTGTCGCAACGCCATTGCAGGGAAAATTGCCTTGAGTAACATCCACTTAACACTCTGGTTTTTGCTGACCCGCCCGCCTTAAAGAGAAGTCCTCGCAGGACATTCCATGGTCAACAACCAACCACGAGTGATGTTAGGTGTTTCCTCAGCAATTACACCGGCCTAAGCTTGCTGTTTTTCCCCACAGTGATGCTTTTTAGGATATGCCCCAAAAACACCCTGCAACTGAGCGCCTTCTTTTGTCTTCTTGAGTAAGAAGGAGAAAAAAAGCTCTGCCTGAATCACATCAAAGCTTTGAAGTCACCTCAGCCCGAACTAACTAGTGGACTAGTCAATCTTGTTCTCTCTACCGGTCAAACTGTTTTTTTTCTTTTTTTTCAAGTGCGAGCATCCGTTTATTGATAAACCCATGGTCATAACTGAGCTCGCTGTAGCAAGCACACGGCTATTAGGCTTGGGTTAGAAATTATATATTCTGGCAACAAGCGCGCATGCGTCTTTCTTAAGTACGCCATAATTGAACAAGCAAAAGAAAGGCTTTGCCGGCAGGGTGCCAGTGAAGAATACAGGGACAAATCCTTTCACTTTCGAGTTTCTTGTATTTTAAGCCAGTTGTCGTGTAAAAGGTACACGAAAACAATTCTCTTCCCGTCCCATTGTTAATATATATGATACTGGGGTTTCTGACCTATTTTTGCTTTTCGAAAGTTTACCATAACTATTAATTTCTACATGGGACAAGGGTCCATGTGATGCAGTATTTACTGAGGATGACTGGCGGAACGAATAAATTAAATAGGCTCAAACAGTAAAAACATTGACTCCTCTATTATTACATGCACCTGACAGTGTAATGATACACTGAGCGGAAGAAAGAACAGAATCGTCAGCCAGGTCAGAAAACAGCTCTAAATTTTCTGCGAAAAATGCACGCACAGATGACACCGTTTTGGCGTCAAAGTGACCCACAAAAAGAAAGATTTATGCAATCCATGTAGGTCAGCTTTATGCCGATAACAAATCGATCCATTTTTGGACCTGCGATGACGTAACGGCACTGAAATCCCGTAGAGACTTCGTGGAAAGTAGTACTTCGCTGATGACTTTTGCCCATTTGGTTCTATTTATTTGTCCTTAGTGTATTTTCCATACAAACTGTCTATTTTCCGTCTACACTCTCATATTACGCCTGGGTTGCTTGTTGTGTTTTTAAAAGGAACAAACAATGAAAACTATCGACGGGATTTTTCCCTTGATTTTGCCCCGAATAACAATTGCAAACTAACTGAAAGATTATCAATCACTATTCTACGTCAATCATCATTAAGACAGCTTTACTTGTCTGCTACCCAAAGAAAAACTCGGTTCAGCCCGGGCGAAAACATCAAAAGCAACATCGTGAAAACAATCACTGTTTATAGATCAACTTTCAGCTTCCTAGAAATGGTTAGATTCACAGAAATCGAAAGTCACCTCAAAGAGTCACGGTGGCTGACTTTATCAAACCCAGCATATCAGAAACTAAGAAATCAAAAGTTTTAAGGGTGTAGTAATATTTTAAATGTTAAGTCTGTTAAGGTATTAATTGTTTCGTCAACAGTAGAACAAAACCTGTAAGATCATATCACTTCGTACAAATATGGAGGCCGTAAATGTAGCCTGCTGTAGAACTTCCGTCTTCGTTGTCTTACTATAAAATTGATATCTTTACAAATGCACATTAGAGCCATTTGTTCTAGGAAAAACGACAAGTCTTAAATAAGACACAAACTTCCTGTTTTTTACTTTAAAGGGATCAGTTCAAACCCCGAAACTTTTCATGTGCCGAACCTAATGCTAGTGTTGTTGTCGCTCATTTGCACTCAGTTCGACTCACAAGAAGTTCGACGTTTGAACCCGGCGTTTGAAGATGCCATCGTTTATAGCTATAAAATCGTTATGTATGCTTGTACTGAATGATACCCCTTCGCCTTTTTTTTCCTCGTATAAAATGATTGATTCATACCTTAACAGTACCGCTGATTCCGTGAGCAGGGAGACCTTGAGAACTGTCATTCATTTAAAATGTAGCTTTTTAGAAATGAAAGTTTGTTTGTCCCGTGTTATATTGGGGGGAAATTCCCTGCCGTTAACAAGTGTCGTCCCCGGGGGGTTTCTCCCTTAAGTAAGCGATATATGAAATGTAGGTATATGCCGCCCACAAGGTTTGGCCATGTTTGAAAACGGGTGATAGATGGTTTTCCGAGAACACCTGAAGGCTTTACATAACTAAGATTGTTCTATTATCTCCCATACATAACGACAGGAAGTTCGACAAAAATCCTACGATGCAGTTTATCATGAGCTCATTGCTCAATAGACCTTGTCACGGTTTTCGACGCCATCTTGACGAGTAGGCAAACGAGTGAGAAATTACAGTGTTTGTATGAGAATCAAATGTCGAATAATTTCCGTAAAACGGCTGTTCTGAACAAAATATCAATTGCAGACTAAAGCTACAAAGCAAAGGATTGTCTTTAAAAAAATGGGGGGCGTACCTGTGCTTAAATTTCTCCAGAGGCTTTCTTTAGATTTTCCAAATATTTGTCTGTAATTTTCCAGGGACTTTCTTACAGACAAATGTATAGAAAATTTCAAAGAGCGGTTCTAGGTCTGCTAGTGCATGAAACGCCCTCAAATTTTTTCAGGAGAATCTTTAGGAGTGAAGCTTTAGTTTACAAATCATATTTTTTTCAGAACAGCCGTTCTAAGGAAATTATTCAACATAGATTCTCATACAATCACTTTAATTTCTCACGCGCTTGCCTACTCGTCAAGATGGTGTCGAAAACCGTGACAAGGTCTATTGTTTCAGATCTCCAAGTTCCAAAAATTCTAACTTCCAAAACGAGGCTAAGTGCAAAACCTTTCTTGTGATAATGAGCTTGATTTGCATCAGAATATAAAATAATTTTCATATGACTGACTTTGCACTTATCCTCTCTTTGAAACAGAGGCTTGGGGCAACGCGGAAATATACAGCCTAGAGATGAATTGCTTTAGGATAGATTAAACGAAAGTGAAAATTTCAAAATTTGCAAAGATTTGTACGGAAAACCATTCAAAATTAACCGTACAGAGTAGTACAGTTCGTGTCTTAAAGCGGCAGGCCGGTATTTTGCAGAACGCCGAACGCAGAATGACTCTGAGTTTAGTGATTGTGGCTAGGAAACTAAGAGAATTAGGTTCCATTTAGAGTCATTAACCTGGGAAAACAGACCTGACACTTAGTTCACTTAATTTCCTTACCCTAATCACTAAACTTCAGAGTCATTCGGTGTTCTGCATTCGGCGTTCGGTGTTCTGCAACATACCCCTGCTCGTCTTCCAAGACGCCTCTTTGTCTCTTTTTATGTTCACCCTAAAATAAAGCTGGCCTTTTGATTCATACCTTAAGACTGCCGGAGTACCCCTGATCCAAGGAACAGTGAGGGAGACGTCGAAAACTGTTTGATTAAAAAAAATAGCGTTTTAGAAATAAGACCTTGCTTGCCCCGTGTTGTACTTTTCTGGGAAATCAGGGAAAATTCCCGCCAATTAACTGAAAGTGAAGGGTGAGATCATCGCGGAAGTTCTGAGACCAATCACTCAACTCGAGTTGCGTTACTTGGGAAATTCCCGTATTTAGTTAAAACAAAACCGAAGGCTTTGCGACTGTACATATTTCAATTGCCTGAATTGTTGGAGCTGCAAAGGTTACTATTTCTTACTAACTAAGCCCAGTGGTTCGACTCGATCAGACTCTACTCAAGTATGTCAGAGGTTAGTATTTGAATTTCTTGTGATTTGGTTTATCAATCAGCCAATATTGCTGGCACATGCCGGTACTACAGGGGCAATAATTGTAACAGTGTTTTGCCATCGCTGACCGACACTTTCCCACTTTAAGGTGACTCGACCCAGTTTTTTTGGGGGGGGGTACCATCCTACTTTGAAGCTCTCTGGTATCCCCACCTTTACTTTTATCGTAAGTCTAACACATAGAATGGATAACATATAGATCAATCTACAATATAACATAAAATTTTTGGCGATCGGAGTAAATGTCACGTGGTTATAATGCCACGCCCCTTTGAGGTCTGAGTCGAAAATCTGCTGTTGCCGGCATTTTTTCGTGAAAATCTCTCGGCTACACATAGTGCGCATTAGTGCCTTGCGCTGAACAGAGTTTCACCAAAATCGCAAAGACCCAATTCGAGAAATTCAGCGGTTTCCAA